TGGACCAAACAATTAATCGGTTAATTGTAAAAATGTTCAATGGATTACTCGAGAATGAAAATCATTGTTAGTTGTAGCTCTGGAAAGGTCAATACGCTTGAATAACTGTATCACTGTGTGTGTGTGTACACAGATTCCCCATCACCTTCCTGCAGTCCTCCATCAAGTTCACCAATGAACCTCCTCTTGGTAATAAACTCCTTTCTGAAGTCAGATCAGGATCTTCCTGATCCCCCCTTCATGGATTTACTTTGAGATACATTCAAACTTGACACTATGTAAATAATCCAACCATTCATAATAAATGACATTGTATTCTACCTTTGCCCCTCACTGATCTGCCCTCGTCAGGGATGAAAGCTGGTCTGAAGAGGACCTTCAATGGCGTCACTCAGGATCAGTTAGAGATCAGCAACCTGCCTCAGTGGAAACCTCTGCTGTACGCTGTGGCCTTCCTGCACACCACTGTGCAGGTATCATCCTTTTACCCTGAAGTCTCTCTGTTTGTTCAGAGATTAAAAAAAAAAACTGTCCCTGCAGCACCATAACATTTTCTTATTTAATCATTTCTACTACTTTCTTTATGTCTCTCTTCCGTTTTGCTGCCGTCAGGAGCGCCGCAAGTTTGGTCCTCTCGGCTGGAACATCCCCTACGAGTTCAACCAGGCAGATTTTACCTCCAGCATGCAGTTTGTGCAGAACCACCTGGACGACCTGGACTCAAAGAGAGGAGTCAACTGGAGCTGCCTGCGCTACATGTTGGGTCAGTCTTTAAATCCACTCGTGGCTCGCCTGGTCACACGCAATCTAATATTCCAGATAAACAGTAAAATGTGTTTGTGAACAGATTTGAGGAGAGAAATAGTCAACGCAGTAACAGAATCTGGATCCATATCTGATCAACACTGCCTAGTTTGACAGTTTGATCTGAGTTTGGTGTGTTGAGCTGGACGGACTCACTGAGAATGAGCTGTCAATCACAAGGTAGCCCCGCCCTAAAGCATACCCTGCTTTATGGTCTGTTTTACTCTAAATGGGACCATCAGTTACTAAATGAACATCATGCTGTATGGAAGAAGACTGAAACTGGAGACTGAGACCAGAAACTCATCAGGAAACTCTTTACTGAGATAATAAATCAGGTGAGAAGTCGGCTCATTTCTCCATAAGACTGAATGGTATCCGTTTTCATTGCAGCCAGTGGAGCTCTCCCCTGCTGGCCTTTACATAGAATGCAGGTTTAAGACACTTCACAGACCTGGAAGTTCTGTCCACTGCATATACTGACAATGGTCTGATGATGATTTAGCCTCTGGGGGTAACTGCAAATGTTTAGGGCCTTCCTGCATAGCCAGGAGCTACCTGGATAACGGATATCCGGGCTGATACGTCCTGTGTCCAGTTAATGTTTGCAGATAAACTTTATAGATGGATACAGGTAAATTTTTTAAAGCTTCCGCCTCACTCTGTTTCTCCATCATACTCAGGTGAAGTCCAGTATGGTGGCCGGGTGACCGACGACTTGGACAAACATCTCCTTAACACCTTCACTCGTGTCTGGTTCAGTGAAAACACCTTCAGTGACAAGTTCTGCTTCTATAAGGGCTACAGCATCCCGGGCAAGGCAAAGACGGTCCAGGACGTCCTGCAGCACATCGAGGCCCTGCCGCTGGTTGACTCGCCTGAGGTCCGAGCACGCTCAGAAACACGTCGAGAAACAAGTTCACACACATCATTAAACCGTTGCTACCTCCGGTCTGCAGGTTTTTGGCCTCCACCCCAACGCTGACATCACATACCAGACCAACTTGGCCAACGAGACGTTAAGCACCATCATCAACATACAACCGAAGGACAGCGGGGGCGGGGCCGGGGAGACCAGGGAGGCCAGCGTACAGAGGCTAGCCAGTGAGATGCTGGAGAAGCTACCACCTGACTACGTGCCGCATGAGGTGTGAAATTAGTATAGGTATGATGCACTGATCCAATACCATTTATTATACCAGAAACGGGACACTCAGTGGTTTCCCCTTCGCAATTTTTTTTGGGGGATAGTGAATCCATGACCCGCCCCAACCTGAGCCAGGCCGACAATGATAAAACAGGTTTAAAAGAAATATTAACACACGTATCGGATCGGTACCCCATATCGGCTCCTACATGAAATCTATATCAGTTTATAGGTATAATATGTAATTTCTGCCACTAGGGCCTCTCTCACTTCAAAACAATAGGAAAAAGTGAAAGTTTGATGAGGTGGAGAAGCAGCGTGGGATCATGGGAGTTTCACCACCATTGTCACCATTGTCGTCATTGCAGTCAGCTTCTCCCGGTTAGGATTCCTTCAGTGTTCATGGTTCAGAGGTTTCTACCGGGAGCCCAATGATCCACAGAGGTCTCCTCCTCTGCAAAACAAACCACTAAAAACACTGAATAAAGCAGTTCCACCTTAAAAATCACTGCTTCTCCCACGCTGTTGGACAGACAATGGACGTCCGGGAGGGGCTGCGAGCCGAGCTGCTGCTAACATTAGCTCAGCTTGTTTCTCTATATTTAGAATATTTTTACCACTTTACCAGAGAACTGAAGCTGTTATATCCATTTATTCTCTCTTGGGTGTTTTAACACGTGAGTTTGGATCAACAAAGTCACACTAACAGATGGAGGCAGCGGTCCACCTGCGACTCTGCTTTTTATCAAAGGAGCCTGGTGGCTTTGAAGAGACTTAAGTTCCCCGTCAAAGTCTTTGAATTCACTTAAAAAATGACTCCTTGTCCAACATATGTTGTGATTTTCAATTTGTACCTTTGTCTCGTAATAATGTTTAAACGAGCACAACGCGAACTGTGTAATTATTGATTCATAGACCCTAATGGAGCAGACTAATCATTTAAACAAAAAGTTCATTTTCATTTTCTCAACTGATTTATTATTACACAGATTATTATAACAACCAAGTCAGTCAAATAATAAATCAATTAATAAGTTTGACATTTACACAAAATGAATCCCGTCATAAACACAGAACAATACAAATATTGTTTATTGTTGCATAATTAAGTAATTGAATCATTGAGTAACTTGAGTGTGTTTTAAAGATCAAAGGTCAACTTCAGAAGATGGGTCCCCTTCAGCCAATGAACATCTTCCTGCGTCAGGAAGTGGACCGCATGCAGCGAGTCATCAGCATCGTACGGAGCACGCTCACCGACCTCAAACTGGCCATCGATGGTCAGTCACACACACACACACACACACACACACACACACACACACACACACACACACAATAGACCTTTTTCACAGCAACCAGACTGTGGACATATGACGGCCTTTAGCTCGTGTTTCTAGAGTTACGTGTTGTTACGAACACGTTAGGAATTGTTAAAATGTGATATTTCTTAAAGGGAGTTTGGTGCAGGGAGCTTTTAGTTGGATTCAAACTGCTGATATGGATCATTGTTAACGTTTAGTCTCCACTACAGAAACACTTACTAACTGCTAAGTCTGATAAGGTTGTCTGGCGGTATTAGTTTTATTAATGCTTTAATAATGTGGATATTGATTACTGACGCTGGCTGCTCCGGATCATTATCAGCTAATTGTGCTCAGTTTCTAACAGAATGATGAAAATGGTTGCCGTTTTGTCTGCATGTAGTGTGACAGATCTAAGACAGTCTGACACACTTCCTCTCGCTGCAGGCACCATCATCATGTCAGAGGACCTGCGCGACGCTCTCGATTGTATGTTTGACGCTCGGATCCCTCGCCTGTGGCTACGGCTCAGCTGGCCGTCGGCGACGCTGGGCTTCTGGTTCAGCGAGCTACTGGAGAGGAATCAGCAGCTCAGCGCCTGGATCAGCACTGGCCGACCGAACCAGTTCTGGCTCACTGGCTTCTTCAACCCACAGGTAGTTCAGACGGCGCCAACGCAGTGAAAACCAGGAGTTTAGAACATTTGGCCGCATCCAATCAGCTTTACACGTAAATGTTTATTTGCGTGTTTGTGTTTCTCGAAGGGTTTTCTGACCGCCATGCGCCAGGAGACAACACGCTCCAACCTGTCCCGGGGTTGGGCCTTGGATACCGTCACCGTTAGCAACGATGTCACCAAGATGATGAGGGAGGACGTGTCAGCTCCACCCCCAGAGGATGTGGGCGGAGTCTATATATACGGCCTCTTTCTGGACGGGGCTGGATGGGACCGCCGCAGCGCCAAACTCACTGAGGCCCCGCCCAAGGTTAGAGTGTGTGTTTGTGATTTATTTAAAAAGAAAAAAATTATGGAAATTCAAATTGTAATAGTAAATAATGAAATGAAAGAATATTAAGGTAAAGTAATTTTAGAACAACAGAAAAGAAAAATGGTAAAAGAAAAATCTAAAATAATATTAAAGTGATAAAAATTATAATGACTAAAAATAATAATGTAAAAAAAAAAAAAAAGAAAATATATAATTCATTGAAGCCTCTCTGCTGCCTCTCAGGTCCTCTTCACCCCCCTCCCCGTGGTCCACGTCTACGCCATCAGTTCAGCCAACATGGCCGACAATAAGCGGCAGCCCGGTGGTGGGGGGGCAGTCAGCCTTTACTCTTGTCCAGTCTACAAGAAACCGCGCCGGACCGACCTGAACTTCATCTTCTCTCTGCAGCTGAGGAGCGTTCAGCCGGTGGAGCACTGGACGCTGCGCGGTGCGGCGCTGCTCTGCGACTGCAAGTGATCCTCAAACTTTATTGAATGAGCATTGGCTCAGTGACTCCAGGATGTTGTTTGTTTAAACTGAAAAAAGATTATAACTTAAACTCATTGAAGGTCTGACTAAACTTTTATCTTCTCTTTTTTTATTCCTTTTTTACTTTTTATTTTTAATTAATTTTAATGAATGAATATAAAAAAATCCCTAAAAACTGGTTACTCAGCAAATCAGTTTGGAAGATACAGCAGAGAAAAAGTCAAAAAAATGTTAAATGAAAAATGAGAAATGAGAAATGTAAAACAGTTAATATTCAGAGGAATCCAACATTGTTTCTTTAATTTAAATCAAGCTTGCGCGATCATAAGCTATGTATTTTTACCAGCTGCTGTAACAGATTATCTAATGACATTAAAGTAAATTAAAAATCTTTAATTCACTGACTAATTATTGAAGAACAGACTTCACATTGGTTACAGAAATAATTCAAGTGAACTTTTATAACATGAGTCAAACACAAACCTGCTTTAATATCTCTGACAAACTACAGCCATGCAGTCACTCACTAACGAATGCTAAGAACACCAACAATACTGTAAATATGTTACAGAATAAACATCAGCAACAATGCCGTTACATCACTGCTGTCAGGTGAAAATCCCATTAGCTTTATTTTCAGCATGATGACATGAGCTGTTCTCACAGCCAAAGATACGTTTTTTTATGATTTTTATGCTCCAGTTTGCAGCTTTGCTAAAAAAGTTACCCAACTGCTCTAAAATAACAGGAAAACTGAAAATGTGGGGGAAAAATACCAAATGAAAGTGTCTGCCTGCTCCAAAATAAAACTACCAGAATTTTATTAGCAACTCTGTTTACACAGAAACTTAATTTCCTTTCAAATTAATCAGGAATTCTGACCTTTAATGACTAAATGCTAATTAAAACTGTAGCTACGAAACAGTTCTCTCACTCAAACACAAGTAACACTAACACACTATACAATACACAGTTTAAATAGTAATTAATACGTTATTTAGATCTTTATTATTCAATCAACAATTTTAATGTATATGTATTTTCATAAAAGGGTGATGAAGTGGCATCGTCCTTCACAGTTCATCTTCGGTGCCACAAGGGGTCTTATCCCCCTCATTTGTATGTTTTGACCACACCTCTGCCTAAGTTGGCAAATTAAACTTACCAAATCCAATTGAAAGTATGGCAAACACATCTTTCTTTAACAAAAGCTTTATCTGTAGTTTTATAGAGAAAATCTACCACACAGGTCGTGTAATACTGACGTGATAGAGGATTCAACAGAAACAGTCACACATCAGCCTCCAACAAATTGGTTGTGTACGAAAATGTCAACTGCCAATAAAGTTGCTCTTCTCTGTACAGTCATTGTATCAAACCTGCCCCATATTAGATAAAACAGTAGTGATTGGCCCGACCGGATCCAGAACTGGTTCCCTGGCTAGTGGTAAAGAATATCTTGTATATATAGAATAGAATATTCCTGGGGTTTTATTTAGTGCCACTTTCAAAGGTCCTCAGCTCGCTAACGCATCTGTGATTTTCTGTCTTAGTAAGTGTTCTATCAAACATAGATTTTCATGTCGTACTCAGTTTAAATCTGCTATAAACTGGCAGTCAAAGTGGTCAATACAATTTCCATTTATGAGTGGTCTTTGTAGTCTGTGGACAGATCCAAATTACTTTCTATATCTAACTGGGTCCGGGTAGGTTGTCATTCTTTTTCAGTGGATCTCAGGTCTGTGTGTCGATATATATGTAGTAGAGGTCCAGACTTTTGGACTTGTGAAGACCTCTACAGGAACAAAGAACCTCTCATCCTGATTGTTGCTGCCAAACAGACATTTTTTTGTTTTTAAGTCCAGTTTATTCAAGTCAATCCCCAGTGAAAGACTTTAATTATTTCACCTATAATGAAATCCAAATGAATAATGAAAATCCAAAACTCTTTTATCACTTTTTCTCCAAACATTTCACAGAACTGAACGTACTATAACTCTGTTATAGCTTTATCATCCAACATTTCAATCTCACCAACATGCAAAAAACAAGTCAACAGCAGCAGAGTGATATTGGGAAATGTCCTGGGAAGAAGTTCTGAACTCTGAACACTTTGTTCATTTATTTTCCCAAAGTCAGTGTATATTGAACACAAAACAAAAAAAATACTATATATATATTTGCTGATTTGATAATAAATGACCAGAACATACGTAACTGCATATGAAATAACCGCGGTGATTTCAGCAATCTGTTTGGTTGTTGTCTTGATGTTCAGTCAGATTGGATCTGTGACCGGCCTGTTCCCTCTCACTTCCTTCAACAACGTTCAAACAAATGTTAATCTTCATTATTTGCACTCTTGCTTGGTAGCAGCAACCTTTAAAAACTTAACGTTCATTCCATCTGTGTGGTCTCAGTGGTCCAAAAGAAAACGGCCCAGATCTTGTCACTGTCTCACGGTTTACGATAGCTGCTTCATATCGTACATTGGCACCTCAGATTCCTCCGGCTTGCCCTCATCGTCAGCCGCCTTGGCGGCTTCAGGACTGCCTTTGCGGCCTTTGGGCGGAGGGACGGGAACGGCGCCCTCTGTGGCGCCCTCAGCTCCTTCCTGGCCCTCTGCCACAGTCCTCTCCTTCTTCAGATTGAGCTTTGCTGGGACGCTCTTGGTGATGGTCTCCTTCAGCCTCTCACCCGACTGCTTCAGCCTCTCACCAGACTGGCGGATCTTCTCACGCCTCTCAGCTGTCACGATGCGCTCACCAAACTTGTTGACCTTGGTGCCCAGGTTCTCGCGGGTCTTGCTCATGTTCTCCTTGGAGAAGGTAGCTTTGAAGCTCTCAATGCGTGTCAGCCCGGTCTTTTTCATGCGGCCGGCTGATGAGGAGTCTGCCTCCTCCACCACCATGTACTCCTCATCCGACTCTGGAGGAAGCTCAAACTTGTCCGGTTCCACCTCGGCTCTGGCGCCGCTGCTGCTGCTAGGTTCTGCTGGTTCGTTGCCTGGTGTGACAGCCTTCACCTCCTGGTCACCCTGAGGGAGGAGAACACAGAGCAGAGTGTGAACCATCATGAATAAAAGATGGACAACTCAGACTTTGTGCTGGGAAAAAACATGCAGTGCATTAGACCTTAAATACTATTTGTTTTTCTTCTAATTCAGATGGACAAAGTGTTATAGTTGATGTCAGGTTTAAATCTGTCTCTGGTTAAAGTGTGTCCTGTAGACTTTAGCTGTTAGCGTGCAGGCCTGATCCTGCCTCCATAAATAAACTAGCACCTGTTTCTGCAGCTCAGTGCTCGGCTGCAGGAAGCTAAACATATCAACGAGCAGCAGCGTACTGAGCAAAGCCGATCACTTTCAGCTTCAGGCCACGTCATGGCATGCATCAGTCTGCAACTCAAAGCTCAAGTTACACTTAACATGAAATGGAGCAAAAATGTTAAGGCCGAAGCTGCAAACTGACACAGATCCTTGCAGACGTAATTCACTTTGGGAAGGTTGAACCTCAATTACAAACTCCTGATTCATGCTATGCTCAGTTCCCCAAGTAAACACAAAGTTACCTAAAAACTAGTAGAAGCCAAGTAAAAGTTAAAGAAAAAGTAATTTAACAACCAGCCACATGGTGCAGCATATTTGGCGTTTCTGGTCCTAAAGCTATACACCAAAACCTGTTCAAATTAGTGACATTCAGTTTAAATCATTGTCAATGATGTTCAGCAGTTTAAAGAGGCAGTTTTCTACATTTTTATCTGTAGTGAAATGTGACCTGGATGTACTAAGCTGACTTTGCAAGGCATACATTTACTGGGAACTGTCTTCAGCCTCCTCAAGAACACCCTGAAGGCCCCCAGACACCAGCTTGGACAACACCTGAGCTAGTAAGCAAGGGACAAAGTAAGAAAATGTAGAAAGATTGATCACCAGGAATTTGATGAAATCAGATCAGTCCTGGAAGATCAAACTCATTAAGTTTATTGAACCTTCATGCTTGTTAGCAAACTGGTCCGTAGCATGCTAATAGGATCGTCAGGATCTTTCATTACATGCATCATAGGCACTATATGACACCTGATAGAGAGGCTAACATTTCCAAGGCTTTGACTGAACATAACATTCATAACTGAGCAACACAGCAGGAGCATGTATCAGAGCCTGCTAACAATCTAAAATTAAAGCTCACTAATTAACATGTCTGTATCCCGTTTCTTTAATACATACACAGAAATGTGAAGAACGTAATTTGTGGTTTTGGGGTTGTTGTGTGTTGGAACGGTGATTGTGTGCAGCTTCTTGAAGTCTGAAGAGAGAGGTCGCCAGGTCTGGCACCCTTGGACCTGGGCAGAGACCGAAGCCTGTGTTCACTGTCTGTCTAGTCAGGAAACTGGCTGAAAATTTGCACAGCAGCACTGGGTGGATGAATACACCATTGTGTCTGTCACATGACTCAGGAATCCGTTCAGTTGTTGCTTCCAGTCTGTATGCTAAGCTAGGCTAACTATGTCCTGATTCCAGGCCTGTACTTAACCCACAATATGAGATCTTCTCATCTCACTAGCGGTGATGGCAAGTTTGGGTCCTTTGCTGCTTCAAAACTGAGTGCTATGGATACATTTCTGTCACATGTTACCCAAGTACTTAAGTTCAATACCTGGATGAATTTATTTATTTAGGTTCATCCACTACTTGAGTTTTGCTGTTGATTTCAGCGTATTAAACTACAAAGTTCTCGGATAGACTGAGCAGCAAGAACGAATAGCAGCTCGTAGACAGAATCCAACCTAACGAGGCAACGTCACACAACATAGGAAGATTTCAGCTTGAAGGCCTTTCTGCTTTGCTAAACTGGGAGGGCAGGAAGGTCAAAGGTCATGAGCGCATCTGATCCCATGACATCGCAGTAATGTGCTGAACCTCCACAGCTTCTGCTCTGGCTGACAGAGGATTTCCTTCGTCAATCTGACAAAAATTTGTCAGAACAAATCAAAGAGTGAACACAGCCTGTTAGCAGCTAATTAAATGATTTACAACCCTCGTACAGCAGCTTCGTTAGCTTATCCAGAGAGAGAGGAAGGGTGAGAGAGCAGACCACTATATTAGGAGATGGTGGCGGTTCAGACTCAGAATAACCTGGTCTGTCAGCTCTCAGCTGGCACAGTCACTTACAGTACAGAATCCACGTAGCAGCTCTCCTAACTGAGCACACACTCTTAACATACGCCGATCAGCAATAACATTATGGCCACTGAATAACACTGATTATCTGGTTATCAGGGCTCCTGTCAGTGGGGGGATATATCAGGCAGCAAGTGAACATTTTGTCCTCAAAGTGGATGTGTTAGAAGCAGGAAAAATGGGCAGCGTGAGGATCTGAGCCACTTTGACAAGGGCCACATTGAGCATCTCCAAAACTTGTGGGGTGTTCCGGTCTGCAGAGGTCAGTATCTATCAAAAGTGGTCCAAGGAAGGAACAGAACCACAGACAGGGTCATGGGCAGCTGAGGCTCATTGATGTACATTGGGAGTGAAGGCTGGCCCGTGTGGTCCGATCCAACAGACGAGCTACTGTAGCTCAAACTGCTGAAACAGTTAATGCTGGTTCTGATAGAAAGGGCTCAGAACACACAGTGCAGAGCAGTCTGTTGGTCTGGGACTGCAGAACATTATGAGCACCAGGGTGCCCATAGGGAGAAATGGGGGAAAGAAAATTGTGAATATTTCCTCTCACGACCCAAGAAGCGTCTCTTCATTTAGTTTCAGATTCATAGTAGCACATTAGAATAACAATGGTAATTTGGTGAGTGCTTGTGTAGGTTTGTACATGTAAGAGAGCTCCATCAGACCTTTGATAATGGTGTTACATAAATTATTAAGGTGTCATCACTGTAAAAATCAAACATTCAGTTTTGCATCCATATTGGATTATTCTGCCACTTCACATCCAGTGCCAACTTTCAGTGCCAATGCAGGGATTTGTGTGTTCTTTATAGCGTATAGAGAAGAAAGTAAAGGAAGGATGTGGAGGTCAGCGTGGTTTGAATTATAGGAGACGGGTTTATATGAAGACCAGCAATTGACCCTTCCTAAGTACCGCCCCTTTTGGGACCTCTGTCAACTTTCTCCTTTCATGGATAATCTGATAATTGTTAGCTAGCTAATTAGCTAGGGTCGTTTTGCTGACATTAGCTATCAGATGTAACTAGCTCTTAAGGCTGTACGTTTTATTCGAAATTTGAAAATTGAAAATGAAAAAAACTGACAATCTAGTGCAACAGACTGTTGCTTAGTTTGCCTTGTGATCCAGCAGAGGGCGCTCCACTTTCAGCTTGATATTATTGACCTGTCAGTATTTAGTAAACTAATCTAGTAAAGTTATGTCGTTTACGTTCTGAACAGACGATTGCGACACCAAAGCATCAGAGAAGCAGTGTGCTTCTGTATAAAGCCTAACCCTACATTGACAACAAATTTGCAGACTAATTTGCTAAGGTTAGCTTGTCATTCGAGTGAGGTAGTGGAGTACAGGCACGGCAGACGAGCAGAGCAACATCAAGTGTACAACCTTGTCTTACTGCTACTATTTGGCACACTCAGCTTAGCCTAACACATAGCACAGCTACATACATAGAAGCAGAAAATTGAGGGGTGGGACTTAGGAAGGGTCAATTAAGATTTACCTTTTAATTAAGCACAACAATGTGTACAGAATTTTAAAAAACTTTGGTCATAATAAAACTGTTTCGATTTATCCGATAATGGAACGCATGCAATGCAGACACAAGGGACCATCTCTACCTTCCATCCCACATGACTTGAACAGCGCACTAGGGTGCACTGTGCAGCCTGACATCCAGCAGCCGCAGCCAGCCAATCACAGGGTCTTTCTGAGGTTTGATCAACATGTGACCTCACTGACCGCACTGCAACCTGACTCTGTACATTAGAGTCTGGATTACAGTAACCGAACCACACCCACAGAGCTATTCCTGCATTTAGTCCCAGTCAACAAGCTACTTAGTAGTTAACATGCTAACTTGAATCTTATATTGCAACTCTTGTTGTTAATTTTCTGATATTTGGAAGTTAGCATGCTAATATGATATGTAGTGCCACAATTAACATACAATTCATTGCTAAAAAATAAAAAAATAGTGTGTGCGCTCTAAATTAACAGCCATATGTAATGATGTCTAACTTGGTGAGAACTCTGACATTAAATCCTTTATTTCTGCTTTTGATGAAGGGGCACAAATTGTCATTTTTAGAGCATCAGTGTCTCATGTTGGCAAATGTCAGCAAAGTTCAGTGGGATCAGATTGCGTGGCTGAAGCCAACAATTATGCATGAAGTAATTCCTGACCCAACTCAAGAATGAAAGTATAGCAGCCAAATAATCATTCACAAAGTGAACTATTTTCAAGTAAAGCCCACTCTATGGCTTCAGATCTGTGGTGTAACCTTTCAGTATGCAGAGGTTTATCCACGGCTAAAATAACGAGGTCACCATTGCGCTGGCAGCTGCTAACTGTGAAGGCCAAAGAAGTAAAACGAAGCCTGGTGTGTGTGCTTGTTGCTATTTCAACCCCTAGAACGAACTTATGCAGTTCGTCTTAAGGCTCAAAACAGTCACTTAATTCTAGGATAAATAATGTGAAGATACAGCAGATTGTAATATCAATGGTGCCTGTATCTAATGTCTCGAAACAGACACAGAGCAGCATTTGGCAACATCATTCTGAAAAGTTATACATGTTTTTGGACAGATGAAACTGATTTACCATACTTATTTGTTTTTTTAAGACCCTTGGAGGCATTATGCAGCGAAATCCCATTCAGTCATTCAAATTGAGAAATCTGCTGACAAAGGTTTGTGCCTTTCAGAAAGATTGCTTAATTATTAAAAGTTCTCCTGCTCTGCAAAAACTGGACATAGGCTGGCAGCTATTTTAGACCTTGTCCAGCTCTATAAAGCAGTTACACTTATCATCTGGCACACACCAACTGGCCCTTTTTGACTTCTTTAGTCCCACAGTTCAGTTTGTCTACTGTTAAATGTGACTACCGTGAACTGATAATTATAATTCAAGTTATGATGCTGATGTTAGGTCATATAGTAAACCAGATGCCAAGCCTGGTGCCACCACTACAGGCCTCAGACCCTTTTCTTTGGCTTGATCCATAGTAATGATGACATATAGAACCCGAACACACTGGTACTTCATGTTAAAGCTCCTGACAGGTCCACTCGGTTCTTCTGAGACCCATCAATGGCATTGAGTTGGGTCGGGTCCAAATCATGTTCAGTTAAATCTGGTCAGGTGGAAAAGAGTCTCTCTTTGTGTCTGTTCAGTGTTTTTTTTATCTATCTGGACTGATTTTCTACTGAACCACATTGGTTCAAAAAGCATTACCTTCTTTGAGTTCTCACTAGAAAGCGCATTAGAAGTACGCTTTTCAGTTCATTTAGTCATGTAGCTGTAGGTTAGCTTGATGCTCTAAACCATTTCTAGGAGATAATCAACACTCCACTGCCCTGATACTAGAAGAATTAATTAAGCAACCAAGGCAGTTGTTCCTTTTCTACTGGTCGTAAGGTACCAATGATCAAACAGATTTGTCTTTGAAGCCAAAGAACTTAACATCTGTGAGTCCTACCTGATAAATGACCACCCTGAACTTGTTCTTGGCCAGGAGGTCTCCCTGGGTGGCCTCCACCTTCTTCACCCTGATGTTCTGGTTCTCCACACGCACTCTGACGTCCTTGATGTGGCGGCTGACCTTGCGTGTCTTCTCCAGCAGACGGTCGACGGTGGAACTGGTGTTGGCGTGGTCGTTAGTCAGCTTGACAACGTCAGCCTGGATGGTCTTTACCGTGTTCTCCAGCTCCACCTGACGCTCCTCCATTCGCTGCTGCGTAGTCTGGACGCTGTCCATGAGGCCCGCAACGCGCTCCAGCAACGCCATGATGCTTCCGGCATCATCTCCGCCTCCCGTTTTGTCTGTCATACTTGCTTATCGGTTCTCTTATTCACCAGCTCCTGACTTGTCTTCTAGTTGCTTGGTTGATTGACTGTTACCTAGTACCCAGTGATCCAAATGTTAAAGAGAAGAAGTGGAGAGGAAGAGTAGGAAGGACGAAAAGGAGCTCCGGAAAGATCTGTTGCTCTTAGACTTTGAAAGGAAAAGGGAAAATCAAAGCCACAGAAGAAAGAAGAATGGAGGTTAAGGCAACGGAGGTTCCAAGGAAAGAGAGGGAGTTCAAGGGAAGGAGGAATAGAAACCTCCTCTGGAAGGAGAATGGGAGAAAGGAGGAGGACTACCGGATCACCCCTCTACAACTGGAAGTTGACCCTGAAACTGGTAGGACCAACTGATAGGCTCCACCCTACTGGGAGAGGGAGGGAGGGAAGGAAGGATGGCAGGAGTTAAGAGGAGGGAGGGATGGAAGGGGGAATGGTGTGGCTAAAAAGAGAGGGAAGGTAAAATGTAGAGGGACAGTATAGTACAGTACAGTAGAGAGTTTTAACAATGTTTAACCAATGTTCAATGATAAAGTGGTAGATTTTAAAGCCAGTGACCAGACTGTAAAATTAAGTGGAGATCTTGTGGAGATCCCACATTTATCTCAGTCTAATTGGGTCAAGAAGTCATGTTGGACTTCTGAAGGCCCTGAGAACTCCCATCAATCAGAGAATTTAAAAATGAAAACCGATATTACAGGAATGTCTGTGTTAATGAGTGAGATGGATAAAGAGTGACATGGATCCTGGCCTCTGTCTGTGTTCTCTGCTGCTAAAAATACAGTGAGGGTAAAGTGACTCCCTGCACCTCTTTGGGAGATGATTGCATTAAAAGGAATGGAAACCCCCTCCCATCTATTCCTCCATCACCTTTTCACTTGTTCTGTCTTAATCCCTCCCTCCAGGTTTAGACCTTTTTCTTTTTTTAAAAACCTGCATTATATTTAAAGGCCAGCAGGGGGCAGCTCCACTGGCTGCAGGATAAACTGATACCATTCAGTCTTATGGAGAAATGGGTCGACTTCTCAGTTGATTTATGAGCTCAGTAAACAGTTTCTTGATGAGTTTCTGGTCTCAGTCTCTAGTTTCAGTCTTCTTCCATACAGCATGATGTTCATTTAGTAACTGATGGTCCCATTTAGAGTAAAACAGACCATAAAGCAGGGTATGCTTTAGGGCGGGGCTACCTTGTGATTGACAGCTCATTCTCAGTGAGTCCGTCCAGCTCAACCAAACTCAGATCAAACTGTCAAACAGTGCTGATCAGATATGGATCCAGATTCTGTTGTTGACTATTTCTCTCCTCAGATCTGTTCACAAACACATTTTACTGTTTATCTGGAATACCAGATCCTGTGTGAGCAGACGAGCCGCCATTGTTTCCTGATACAGACGAGTTGAAATTGATTTCGTTTTCTAATCAAAATTACAGAATCTTTATTTCTGACGTAGGGTAAAAACTGCATATTTCATTTTCTTGATGTTTTTGTGCCTTGATATCACACAGACATGGTAACGGCCATGAAACCAACATCGCAGCCTTTGGTACTCCCAAAACTAATGAGTGGAGCATTCACTTCTTCGCTTTTGCATCCACAAGCAACTTCCTGTCATAGTTGGATATTTTGTTACTTGATTCCCTTTTGAAAGTTCAGAAAACTTCCAAAACCTTGGAAGGCTAAAAGGATAAAAACCTACAGAAGAAAGAGGGTGTTAGGAATGAGATGGGGTGAGAAAGGAGGGATAGAATCAGATGGAGAGATGAGGGGACTCCCCGCCGTCTAAAAACCATCCACCAGCTGCTGCCTATAATTATCCTGCCGTCACTGCTATATTTAACTTCCTCACTGAACAAGACATGGATGCTTCAACAGCCACCGGGAGCGCTTGCTTTTCACTCCTCCTCCCTCACTCACGGTGGTTGGAGTCTCCATATTGTTCATGTGCCTACAGTTCAATGGATCTTATTTGATTGGAGGGGGACAGTTTGTGTGTTATTTTGTATGTAAAGTTAAGAAAACCCTGTCAGTTCCTGAAGCCAGAAGATCTTAATTTAGTTACTCTTATTGGACAGAGATGACTGTGATTGGCTGAAACACCTGTCAATCAACCCAAGCTTAAATCTCTAAATGAAACAAATTTCAATGTTATGCTGTATATCAGAAAATTAATAAACTGAGGGCTGAATGTGTATAAATATGTTTCAGTCGGAGATCCCTTGGAGCAGCATCTAGTGGCCATTTGAGGAACTGCAGCTTATCGCTCCTTCAACACAGCCGCAAGCCCCTCCCCAGGTGCTGCATACCTGCTGTCAGGTGTCTGAGGTAGGCTATATTTGTACTGTACAGCTCCTCGCCATCAGTATCATTCATTTATATTTAGTCAGTATGTTCAGCAGGAAGTAGTGTTCATTTAGTGTTAGTGTTGGAAATACCTTTTTATGTTTCAGTCAGAATACCCACTTCTAAACCTCCTCTGCTGTGCATCATTCAGCAGTGTTCTGGAAGCTGATTTTTTTCCCCCCAGTATGGTGAAGGCATGATATAGGGTGGACAGTTTTTGAATTTCTGCTTTGTGAAAACTTTCTTGCCATAAAGAAAATAGCCCAACAAGTGACACAATTCTGTAATACTGAAGATGTTAACTATTAATTTAAAGAGGAAAAAAGGTTCTATCATATTCCAAGGAATCACAACCTTTTGGGTTGGGAATCACTTATCTAGAGAGTCGGCTCCAGTCCTGTTAGCTTGCAGAGAGCAACATTTCTCCCACTCAGCTGCATGCCTCTGCTTGAGGTGCTGGAATAAATTTGTTGTACTGCTAACTTTGGTTGCAACAGCTTTCAAACAAACTTTACAGTGGGTCGTGGTTTGTTTGCTGTCGGACGCCACGAAACCAAACCAGTTCCAGTAGTGAACGCTTTTAGCACTGTCCCACTAACCCAAAACACTTCTTTTATTGTCCCATCCAACCACAGTTTGGTTGGATGGGACAATAAAAGATTCAGATTTCAGGCCCACCCCCCGGACTTGCCCCTCATGTATGAGAGAAAAAGGAAGTGCATACAGATTAAAGCGATGACACAGTGGTTTCAAACATCATAATTTAATCCTAGTTCCACTACAGTACAGTCTAAACAACAACTTCACTGGTTCATGCAACATCTACAGTAAAATCAGGCTAGATTCTCGCAGAGACACTGAGCGAGTCAAATAAATCTGATCTCAGTACAGCCGTACTTCAGGGAACCTCCCAGCTTATTGAGTATACTCCTCCTACCACAATAAAACGACCAACACGGACACGTCGTACCATCGTTACAAATTAGATTAAAAAAAGCAGAAACTCGACCAAAAAACAAAGCAATTTAAATTATCATCAGCTTGTCAGAACACACAAAAAAACATTGGAATCCATTTCCGGAATGGCGTCATCTGAAAATCAAGCAATAAAATAATTGTAACAACAACCTGTACATATCAGCCTGTACCTTCTCTTTTTTTAAGCAGTAGAAAAAACAGCATTTTGGTTTTTAGGTGCGTCTCATCGTAACAAATACAAAAACAGCTCAAATAAAGTTCATCTGAGTTACATGAAGGATTATTTTTGACCCTGTGAGACGCAGCAAAACATAAAAATAACCCATCAGCTGTGAGTCTGCAACAATACCCAAGAGGGCTTCAGTGGTCCCTGATAATCCTGTAGTCCTGGTACAGAGCGCCCCCTGGAGTATTAATGCCTTCATAACACCTTTAACTGGTCCCCACACTGAAGACAATGTGGACACCGTGCATGGTAAAAAGCCAACACAGAAATATCAACAAATGAATCCCTAACTGTGATACTCAGGGTTCCCACTTTATCCTTGTCCTGGAGGTTTTCTCAGAATACAGGACAGCCTGCTCACAGACAGATAACCCACCGGGAGGTCTAGTACTGAATCATTTAACTGCAGTTTTATTCTTTTTTTTACTTATGCTCACTTTTGTGGCAGTAATAGTTCAAATCAAATAGGATTTATTTTATTTTACAGAAATGTAATCTTCGCGCATCTGTGTGCGTAGAATTAACATCGCTGGGCATGTATTTATCAACCAATACCACAAATCTAATCGTTAACTGATGAATGGGTTAATTATCTAGCGTTTGGAGATTGTCAGCATTGACAGATTTCTGCACTCACAAAGCTGATTTACAAAAAAATTCTCTACAGCATAACCCAATGTATTTGTATGTTTTTTTATAGTTATATTAGGTTTGTAGTGTGCATGGAATAATGGACTTATACACAACTTTCCTCTGATAAGCCCACATTGGTCGACCACTCGCGGACAGACTGTCTGTTGTAGATAATAACCACCGGTAGAATCTGAACTGAGATTCTCAGAGAATTTCACTCACGGCTCAAAAAGATGGCAGCAGGTCCGTTCCACTTTGTGTCTGGTAACTCCGCTTCCCAGTGTCACTGCGCAGATTATCTTTCCAAACCCAGGATTACTTCGGCGATCTGAGTGAGGGGCTAAAATACTATTAAAGACTTTCAGGATATTTGGTCATTTTATTCCATTTCCAGGATGTGTAGGAACCCTGAATATTGAATCACTACTAAATATTAATGCTGAAATTTATAACATTTAAACTCCACTAATCCCAATCTACCAGAGATACTTCTTCCTCTCATACGTATGTTTATCCTCTGTAGTCCAGATGCTCAACTTTGCCATTTTGAATTTAATTGATCCCATTTTAGCAGCTACATTGGTTTTTTTATGGAGAAATCAAACAATATTTAATTTAGTTTTGTGAATCCTAAAAAAATTCTAAAAACTACATATTCAGTCAAATCCAGCCGTATTTAAATTTGAACTTTAAGTATTCAGCAGTGATCTAGACTTATATTCCACATAAACAGGGTGAAACAATCGTTAATATTCCTTTTAAAATAAATCCAAACAAAAGCACAAAAACGGCATCAATCTGCGTCCCATAGGGTTAAAATAAACGGAGACAATCTCTTATTCCAGTTTGTATGAGGACGGTCCAAAGTGAAGATACAATCAGATAAATAATGTTTCCTGCCGGAGGATCCACAGTGTTTCAGAGTCTGAGAGGACGGCAGCGTCATCATCTGCAGACAGTGCGGAGACAAAACTGTCCAGATGGAAAAAAACAACATGGAGGAAAATCTGAAAAATAAGGCCCCTTAAGAAATTCAAAAATTATTTTTTAAAAAAGGGAAAACAAAAGAGGCACCAAAAAGTCGAGATATCAAAACTGCAGTCTGTCTGTGTGGTACGAAAAATTTAGACTTTTCATAAAAACATTAGAGAGGGAAAAAGAGCAGCTACATCATCCTGGAGGACGTTCCTGACGGGAAGTGACCGAGGTGCTGCTTCTGTCTCCGGCCACGCTTCGTCTTGTTGCACCTCCTGCAGGACACGACAGGAAGGACACAGCAATTAATAACAGCATACAATACTCAACTCAAGGTCTGCTTACGCGCTTTTTAAAGAGTGTTTAAAGAGTTACTCCACACTCTCCAGTATTACCAAAGTTATTAAAATATGTCTCAACTCGCCCTCTGATGTTTTAAATGAGCCTGAACCCTGTGAGTCCAGTGCTGACGGACTGGTTTGGGACATACTTTCATGCACGGAAGGACTTCAGGCTGCTGGACTGTTTGTAGTATTAGCAATATTAGTAGTATTAGTATTAGTAGTACACGCAGTAGTGCTGCGAGTACCTGGTGAAGCACATGACCACGGCTACAATGACGGCGATCTGGACGGCTCCGATGATGGCGGCGATGAGGACGTAGTGCAGCTTCTGACCGCTGGGCACCACGTACAGGATGTTAAAGTCCAGGAGCTGATCGCACTGAGGACCACCGTACGCCGCCTCACACCTGAGAGACAGAGACACACACACACACACACACACACACACACACACTTTAGCTAACAGTATAGCCTCCCTAGCTAACAAGAAGCTGTAACTCTGCTATAAAAGTTCTGATTTATTTACACGATTTCATCCAAAATGTAATATGTTCTTTATGTTCGTGTCCTCACTTTGGTTGCTAACACTGTTACCAACTTTAATCTCCTGAAGTATAACACCAAGATACAGACAGACAGACAGACAGACAGACGGGCGTTACCTGCAGGTGGGCAGGTTGTGTCTCATCTCGCAGTGGCCGTGTTCACAGAACTGGGCGTAGTCTTCAGGACAGGGGGCGGGGCTGTCCACAAATCCCTCCCCCTCACCAGGTTTGGACACAGCTGGAAAAAAAAGGAACTAGAATCACGGATCTGCGCCCGTATTCCTCCGCCAACCAGTAAACCAGCTCCAGGTCTGTCCACACTCAGATACGTAGTGGAGTTATATAGAAGGTGTGTTTACTGGTACTATACTGACGGTTGACTCCAGTGGATAACAGCACACTGATACAGAGCTCCGTCATACAACAACAATCCAGCTTAATATCAGTAAAACTACAAATCCTAAAGCGTGGCTGCTTCCAGCACTATAACAGAGACGTCCTGCTGACGGCACTGCAGCCCGGGTTAGATTCGGTCGGCTCCAAGGATGGAATGAAATTCCCTCGAGGCGTTCCTGAGATATCGTGTTCACCACAACGGGACAGACGGATGCGAAGGCCTAAACCCTTTCTGTCCAACTACAGTCAGGCTGCAGGAAGGGGTTCTCACCATAGACGTCTGGTTTGGTCTTCATGCTGTCGTCCTTCCTACTTTTATCTGAAACCACAGAAGAAGAAAATGTTGTGAGAAATGACACAGAAAACACAAAACTACATAACTAATAATGTGCTCATAACAGTCACCAGACTGATCACAGTTTCAGTTTAAGGTCTCGTTCATTCACCATCAGCACTTGCAGTTACATAAGAACAGATGACATCAAGTGTTATTAAGGGGGAATGAGTATTCTTGTGGTAATACCACCTTAAACAGCCCACACTGAGTAAATTAAGATCACAATTTAAAACCTTCCGTCCTTACTGTGAATAAGCAGTAATTGGGAAGTTAGTTAAGGGACTAGTAGTTACTACCACTAGTAGTAGTTGTAGAATAAGGCATTAATACGTGCTCTATAATGACTAATAAAGAGCTAATCAGCAACTAGTTAATGCTGAATATGTGTATGTTGATTTACATACTGCTCATAAAAGCTAAATATGAAGGTTAAAGTGTTGGTGCAGTGTGATAAAGTACGAGGCGGAGATGGACAAACTGTCAGCTCTAGAGAAAGGATTCCTCATCACCCAGCAGCGAGTGATTCAGACTGCCAGCTAATGTGATGAGACACCAGTACGGGGGGGGGTTAAACAGGTCAGCTACAGCACTTCCTCACAAACATTCATATACTGTAGTGGAAGGTTTAGCACATTTAACCAGTTCTATTCCTCCTTTTTCAATGGTTAAGGGATTAACAGTAACATTCATTAAAGATTGATTCATTGTTGCTCACACAGCGAACGTTGCTCTGCGTCTGTTTATCGACCACAACAAGACATTTTCACTCTCGGCTTTCGGGAGAATTCTGATCACAGATTTGTTCCACGTCTGGTAAACCTGCCGTGAATCCTGAATATTTGGTCCATTTCCAGGCGTTTCCTTGAACTAGTCTCTAAATGTCCAGGTTTTCTGCAGTCTCTGTCTATTTTACTGTGTGTGTGTGTGTGTGTGTGTGTGTTTGTGTGCATACTATTTTTATCCTTATTTTTGGATGCATAATCTGTAGAAGTCTGTAACTAAACAGTAACTGTATTGTTGTGATTTAAAACTTATAAAGTTGTGTTGAAAACAATCGACTTGTGGAAGTCAAACGGCAAACGCCGCTTTCATCCTTTTATCCGAAGGCACTCGGGATGTTGCGTTAATATCTCGCCTTCGTTGTTACTAAGCAACCGTGACGATGGCGCTGTGGTCATTTAAGCCTGCCATGTATACTCTCACAATTTCAAAGCAAAACAATTCGCAATCCTGCGTCATCCTGGAGGGACTGAAGGAGGGACGATAAAAAATGGAGAGCAGGAGGTCGTCGTGTTAAAATGTGAACAGCTGGTTGTTCAGTCAGCCGCGTGTGTGTGTGTGTGTGTGTGTGTGTGTATTGGGGTCAGGTCATCATTCAATATAGATGAGCTGAAAACTCCTTTTTCTCCTCCTCCCTTACAGTCTATCCTCTGCTCTACTTTTTTCTCCTTTAACATCCTTCAATCTCTCCTTTTCATACTTCTTGTTTTCCCTTTCTCCCCCCCTCTGCACTCCTTTCCTCCTCCATCTTTCCTTCTCTGAACAGAAGAGGAAGAAAAATGCTCCTCCTCTTTCTTCTCGTCTACATATTTCATGTTTTATAGTCTGTCCTCCTCATCTCCTTCTTCTTGTCCTCCATCTTTCCTCCTCTACTCTTTTCTTTCCTCTCGTCTTCCCCTCCTTTTCCTCCTCTGCTCTTTCCTCTCCTTTATTTTCTATCTATCCATATTTTTCTCTTCTCTGCCTCCTCCACCATATCGTTATCTCCTCATCCTCCTTTCCTGACCCTTTCCTCTTCATACTCGTTTTCCTCCTCTTCTTTCTGCTCTGCAGCTTTAAATCACAGTTTCCTGTTTATTGCGTCGCACTTCCTCGTTACCTTGGCAACGTCCCACGTGTCTGATGTCGATCTTCAGCTGTTTGAGGCAGGACGCCTCCCGGACGTGGCACGGCGTGTCGTAGGTGACGCCGTCGCTGCCGCACACCGGGTTGTCGTTGTGGCCGTTACACACAATGTTACACATGCAGCTGCACGCACACACACACACACACACACACACACAATCTTATGTTAGACTTTTATTTTGAAGGGTATGTGTTTTTCTACTGTGTACGTCATATTATCTTATATTGTTGCCTGCCATTGTTACGCAGATGACACTCAGCTCTATGTATCATTTAATTCTGATGACTTTAGTAATCTGGATACACTGCTGCCAAAGACTGGATGTGACTGAATGTTTTACAGCTAAACACAGATGAAACAGAAATGTTGGGCATTGGACCAGACCAAGTTTCAGTGAGTATTAGTCATCACTTCAGGGAATAATCTGTTTCTGTTTGAAGAAGAAAATACTGCCCGTATTGTTTAAGAATGCTGTAGAGCAAAATTATCCATGATTTTATCTGCTCCCGTCTGGATTACAGTTACTCCTCTTCCTGCCATCACTCGTCTTCAGCTGGTTCAGAATGTGGCAGCCAGGCCGAGCACATTACCCCCATTCTGGTACTTTCACTTTGGCTTCCTGTATGCTTCACAAGTCAATTCAAGATCCCCCGATCACACTCAAAAGCCCTCCAGGGTACCTTTGTGTATTTCTCAGCACCAAGATCACTCAGATCTGCAGACCAGCTGCTCTTAAATGTCCCATGGTCTCGGCTCTTACTGATTTAGCTCCAACACTGTGGAACTGTCAGGTCGACCTTTAAAAACCCTCCAGTACAGCCGTTTTCAGTTCTTACTGGTTTTAATGATCGTAATCTTGTTCCTAGTTACATTGCTTTAATTGTTGATGAGCTGTGTGTGTGTGTGTGTGTGTGTGTGTGTGTGTGTACTCACAGCATATCCTCGGAGTCTTCATCACACTCGGCTCCAAACTTGCAGTTTCCACATTTTGAGGCCTTTTTCCCGCGACCGGAGCCTTCATCATCTGCACAGACACACAACATCACTGCAACATGGCCTCCACATTTATTACTCATTTATTCTTCTTATTACTATTCTCGTTATTATGTGTGTTCGTGGCGTTGTAGTTGTAATACTGCATTAAAAAGCAGCAAACTGAAAGATAAAATGTTGTTTACCTCCATCGCCAGATCCCGAACCACCGTCTGACAGAAAGACACAGAGACGTTAGGACAGGAAGTAGTTCTCCATCATCATGAAACTAAAACTACTTTAATTAAACACGATGTGCTCATTATTAATGCTGTTCTCTCTGGGATTAGTCTGAATAACAAAAACTGCTGGAATCAGCATGAATTCACCATGTGGAGGTTCTTTATTGTAAAGTGATACTCCCCAAATCCCCCAACGCGTGTGTGCGTGTCTGTGCGCGCGTTACCGTGGTAACAGGGTCCCTCTGACAGGGCGGTGATGGCTCTCTGTTTCTTGCAGGCGGCTCTCCTCAGGAAGCACTCGTTCTGGTACGTGTCTCCGTTCGACCCGCACACGGGGACGTACTTCTTATGACACTGAGACACACACAGGACCAACAATCATTCATTCAGTCGGTGGAGTCAGTGACGGTAGATGTGTTAATTAATATGGGAACAGACACTTTATGCTAATACAGTGTGTGTGTGTGTGTGTGTGTGTGTGAGACTCACGTGGAACTGGCAGACGCACTTGATGTCGGCTCCGTTCTCGCGGCAGATTCCTCCGAAGCGACACGTCCCTGCGTCACACACACGCAGGTCGCTCTTCTTCTCTGACAGATCTGAAAGTAGAAACAAACGGATTGTTAGAGATGATCAGCGCGGCCGAGTAAAGCCAACCTGCTGGTGCGGTTTATTGAAGCAGCAGAGGGCGAGCTGACACATTTTAACACACAAAATACAGATTTTAACTTTTAACTTTGGTAATAATGTGAATATTAGCAACGTCAAATAATAAGTTCACAGCTGTTTGATGTTTTAGGGTGGAGTGCCTCTTATAAAACTATAATAATTCTGGTTAGCACAAGCTAGTGTGAGAGAGATATAATAAATCAGATTTTATAATAATGACTTATTTTATGAAACACTGCATCAGGATAAAAAGTCTGAATCTAGTTTTTAGAAAATCCATCCAACAGTGGACACACACACACACACACACACACACACACACACACACACACACACACACACAAACACACACACACACAAACACACACACACACACACACACACACACACACACACACACACACACACAAACACACACACACACACACACACACACACACTATCCAGGGTAGTAATTTCCTGATGGCAGCTGATTGGTCGACAAGCCACAGGCTAGCCAATTAGAGCTGGTAATTACAGGGGTCGAAACCCCCGCCTCCTCTGTAATTAGTAAATACCTCAGAGTGCTGAGCCAGCCTGAACAACCTGCTGACACACAGAGCCTACTGCAGGGGTGGACAAAATAACAGAAACACGGTGCTCCCAGGACCCCTCGCTGTCGGCGTGGTCGACCAACACGGACGCCGCCACTACCAACCAGGACAAGCTAACGCAACGTAAACCTGACGAAATATTTAAAGTTTCTACAGTTTCACTTCATCAGAATAAAACAGCGTCTGCCTGAAAGTAAAGAATACGTCAGAGGCGAGCAGCAGGACGGTTGCAGGTGGTTAACGAGGTGAAACGAGAGAGCGGTGAACAAACTGCGTCAGTGGTGATGAAACCTGTCGGGCCTGCACTTCTTCGTCTTTCTGTCTTCCTCTGGAGGATTTCTACACCTCCTGACACACAAACCTCCACCTGACACACCAATAATGTCTGGTTGCTATAGTTACTAACATCTCATCTGACAGCCATTGGTTCGTCACCAACCAATTACAGCTTGTTTACAGAGTCAGACAGGTCCTCAGAGACCCCGTCACGGAGCCTCTGTGGGGAGCTTTAACTCAACACCAAACACAACCTACACACAGCCGTGTGTAAGACATGACAATGATGTGGAGACAGCAAGACCCCGAAACTGAACCAGGACCTTGAGTCGGGCCCTAAAGGCAAGAAGTGATGTTAGCGACTAAATCAGGATACCGGTTGTTGATCATCTATGAGCTGTATCGCTAAACACACTGAATAAAGCAGTTCCACCTTAAACACACTGAATAAAGCAGTTCCACCTTAACAATCACTGCTTCTCCCACGCTGTTGGACAGACAAAGGACGTCCCGGAGGGGCTGCGAGCCGAGCTGCTGCTAACGTTAGCTCAGCTTGTTTCTCTGATAACTTAAGATCCAGACGTCCGATGACTAAAATCCTTCATCCGGTTCAAATCTAGAGTTAAAAAGCACCAAGATCTAAACAGTGGATGGTAAACAGTCAGTGTGTGACAGCTCCTGGCAGACAACCACAACGCTGACGCAGGCACAAAGGTTGGTTAAGGTACGTTGACGGTTAGTAACAGAAACTAGTAGCTATGTTGCTTGGGTCATGATAGCTGACTAGCATCTAGCCAGCTATCATTACCATGGTGACACTAGCAAAGAGCTGAAGCTGAATGAAGCCTGGTTACTGCAAACAGCCGCCTGCCACTCAAAGTAGCCACGCCCTGAATTATGCAGGGAGGTGGCGCTGGCTCGCTAGAAAGGACTTCATTCAGAATTAAACCAGAGTTTCACCTCAGCTTTCACACTAAATCCACCTCGGGTCCATAAAAGTTCTCCGAGCGGCTCCGAGCGGGAGAAAGTGTGTCACTGTGAACTCATTCAGTCACTGATTCAAAACTCTGATGAGTCAGTGAACTGTGACACGACTGCACCACATCTCACAGTCATCGTCCACGAATAAGTACCAAACTGAACCAGCGTACGATGTCAACTGTTGGGGGAGTTTATGAGACGCAGTGAGGTGCACTGAAGCTGATCTGAGGCCAGTCGAGCTGCGAGTGAAGATCAGTGAGGCAGTATGACTCCATCTCGCTCTACTGACTTCATTATCTCTCTCCTTGTTTTTCTCCTCCTAACCTACATCCAACTGTAGCTACACATGGCCTAAAGTATGTGCACACCACAAACTTCCCTTATTCACTTGGACTGTTTTTCAACCTGCTATCAAACCAACAAGATCCAAACAGTGGATGGTAAAACTGGTTTAAACTGGGTAAAAGGTTTTTCATTCTTTTGCCTAAATGAGACTTTTAAAAGAAGAAGTAAACCTGCCTTGAAGTGTCGTACCGTGCAGGTTCTCCACCAACACTCAATACGTAGGCGAGTGAGGGACATTTTAATCAATGACTGGAAAACTAGTCTGAAAGTTTCCAGGGTTTCCAGGATGCGTGGGAACTAGGGGTGTAAAGATTTACAGATATAAAAATCGGTTTTACAGAAGTTTTATGGATGCAACTACATCTGTATATGGATCCCTGGATGGATCTAGATGTACCATGAACCGGTCCATGGGTGTTAGGAATCTGTTGACGGAAGCTTTGCAGCCACAAGAGCGACGACAGTAACGTCAGCGCAATGAGCCATCAAATCGAAATCTCAAGTTTGGAAGATATTTGGATTCTACAAGAAGGAAGGAAAGTATATTTCGGATGGCGGTCGCACGACAGATCTAAACACGAATCCGATTGTTCCACATTAAAATGTCCCTGAAGAGATGCACTCCCACAGGGGGAACCCGGTCTAGAATCTATAATGTTTAACATGTCCTCTTTAAACTCTAGCTCTATGTTCCATATGTAGTTGAGTTGTGTTTCTACATTACCCCAAATGTTACTACAACGTTCCAACTCAGAGAAAAACCAAAACGCAGTGATGAGTTTTTAACCGTATTTTGGTCGGCGCTCGATGGCACAGAGGAGGAAGATACATCAGACTTCAAAGTTTACAAGTTAGTGTGGTTCCAGTTTGATGTATCACTCACTCACACACACACACACACACACACACACACACACACACACACACACACACACACACACACACACACACACAGGGTACTCCCTCATTTAACCTCGCCCTGTTTCTCCACCCTGTCATTAACCCTAAAATAGAGCCCAGTTAAAGTGAGGAGTGGTCAGCGCACGCACACACACACACACACACACACACACACACACAGTACAGGTGGTGTGACTGACTGCATGCGTCTGTTGTCATGACAACTGTGCTGATATTAAACACTGATTTGATGGTATCAATCACATTCGGGAGCCTCCATCAGACCTGTTTCATCCTCCTGTGGTCGTCATGACAACGGAAACAAAAAAATGTATCAATGGCAACAGCTGGATCATGTGACCGGAGACCACCAATGAGAGGGTCACATACATAAAGATGACTGTGAACTCTGACCTCCACATCCTCAAAACATCAGTCTGGAAGAGCCCCCCCCCCTCCCTCCCTCCCTCCCCCAACCTGAGGGGCTCAGGTGGAAACTGGAGGTCTCACCTGGGCAGTCGGCGGCCTTCCCGGGGCCGCAGTCCGTGCTGCTGCCGCCTCCGCTGCGGGGGAACGAGCTCCGGACGGCGGGGAGAACCAGCAGCACCAGCAGGCAGCAGGACCAGGAGAACCGGTACACTGGAGCCATGATGGAGGGCGGTGGGAGGGGGAGACAGATGGAGGGACAGACAGACAGTGGGGAGAGATAAAGGGATGGATGGAGATAAATGGCTGTGAAGAGGAGGGGGGGATAGGGAGGTAAAGAGAGATATTTCTCTATATAGAGAGATGGAGGTGTAGAAAGGTGTGTGTAGGGATAGACAGAGCTGTACAGAGAGAAACAGACGAGTGGAAAGAGGATAGAAATATAAAGAGAGAGAGATTAACTGAATCCGTTTTTCTGGATTCGTCCTTCAGTCATCAACACACAAGCAGCCCGCAGAAAGAGAAGAATACAGAGAGATTAAATCCAAATGTTCTCCATGTGTCCCCTCCTCTGTCCACACAGTCCTCCGGGGGACGGCTCCGTGCGCGAACGGACCCAAAAAGGCTGGAAAACACGGTGAGAAAGCCGGGAGGAGGGCTGCTAAATGAAGCCCAGGATAACAAAGCAAAGCAGGGCCCGGGGCTTCACACACCGACCCCCCACACCTCCACCACCCCCTCAAACCAGTCTGCTCACAGCCCGGACTGAGCCTCCATCCCCCAGCCCCGCTGCCTCGCACTCAAACCGGGCGGCGAGCACCGCGGAACGTTCCGCGGAGAAAAAGATCCAGGTGGAGGTCCGAAGCGGCTTCCAGCAGCATCCAGGCCGAAGAGGAGTGAGTGTGCGCCGGGGAGGACGGATGGATGGATTCGGTAGGTCGGTCGGACCGGGACGACTTCTTTTTTTTTTTTTGTCCTCCTGTTCTTTCTCCACTGAATCACATCAACAAAGGCTCTGACCACGTGACCTGCAGCAGGCCACTCCCACACAGAGAGAGAGAGAGAGAGAGAGAGAGAGAGAGAGAATGAATATGAACTGGAGCCCCCGTCTGCTCTCCTGTATCTTTCCTCAGTGTTTGCAGTTGACCTAATATCACTGTAAAGCTGCTCTAGATTGTCTCAGATTTATTTTTGCAGCCCAAAGTGTTTTAAGGGGGGGGGCATGGGGACTTTAGAGAAGCAGTGTGGAGCAGTGTAGTTGCACATTGCAACTCCCTCGCTTCACCCTCCCCTTCTAAGCCTAAAGGAGAAACTAGGTGGCTGTAATAAGCACAAAAAACTCAAACGGCCCTATATAGAGCCTGTGTTTGTCCGTTCTGGGCTGCCGTAGAAACATGGCGGACTCCACCAGAAGAGGACCCGCTGCCTCTGCAGATAAAACACAGATTTAACAGTAATGAAAACATATCTATGGATGTTATATTCCATATCTGACTCTAGATCCTCCTCAGTGTTTCTCACTGGAGCTTCAACAATCACATTTATCAATATTTGCTTGGAAATAGAAGATATTTAACTCAGAGAAGAAGATATTTAACTCAGAGAAGAAGATATTTAACTCAGAGAAGAAGATATTTAACTCAGAGAAGAAGATATTTAACTCAGAGAAGAAGATATTTGTGGCACATTAATGGAGAACTGAGGTGGCGTTAGAGATCAATACATTGTTTTATTTGCTAATCTTCAGACATTTGTACAAATACATGTCTTTGCTCATTGATGTTAAGATGATCACTGATATAAAATGTGTCCATAACACATCATTAAATCAGTTTCCACTATTTGGGGGAAGGACAGAGTTTTAGCTCGCAGATTAATTGATGAAATGAAATATTGAACTGGAAACAGGCACAACCTTCTACCTTCACCACGTTGATCAAAGACATTATGCATCATAAAACCTGGCAACCATTCATTGACTATGTAGATAACCAGGCTATGATATGAGCTGTCTCTCCCCATGTAAAGCAGCTCTGTACCTCGGTTAATGTTTGTATATGTACTGTACTGGTTCTGTTGTTATTGTATAGCAGTTGTATACAGCCCCCATACAGATATGTTTAACTTCTTTTACTCTTCTCACCTGCAGGCTATTTCTAAAAAGAAGTTTAGCTGCTTCGCTGCAGCACTGTTGTTAGCATAAGTCAACTGAAGACTTCAGACTTTTACTTCATGTTCTACGTTTTTTTTAAAAACTATTTAATTATCTTTTTTTAAATTGAGTTTATTTTGTGAGATGTGTGTGTATGTGTGTATGTATATATTCTGTCAAATGTGTGTTTTAAAGATGTTTTTTATATTTTAGTTTTGTTTTTAATGCCACAGCATTTCATCTATGAAAGGTTCTATATAAATACATTTATTATTATTATTATTATTATTATTATTGGTGCTTGGAAATCATAGAAAAATACAGACCTTGCCTGAGAATCATCACATTAAGTAATCCAGTGATAGTTGTGTGTACATTCATGCAAACAGGAGCAGCTGACAGCAACAAAGACAAAAAAAAGCCAATCCAAGCCTGTCCCAAAATATCAGAATCTATAACTGAACCATCCAGGCGGTGGCGGAATAACTCGCCACGGGGCAGAATGTAGTGACTTTGTAATATTACGTCATTATCTTGAGATACTAATTAAAAATACTGAGAAGGTTTCTCATTACAACGACTTCCCGTCACATTGGCAGCTACCCAGTATTCCCTCACTAGAATATTCCCACACTGTCACACCACCCTGCCCCCAAGTTTACTGAATTAAGTTTGTTGTTGAATTTTTTTATTTTTTTACACAAAAAGGGGAAAAAAAACAACACAAAAAAGAATCTAAATGAATTTAGAGCCGCAACTTAACAATCATTTGTGTCCAACAAACACACATAACGCCCACCTGTGTGGACTCGAGGTATAAATACAAAGACTTTAGACTCGACTTCAAACAAATAATAATTAATGATAATTTACTTTTTAATCTCTCAACCATTAAAATTAAAATACAGATCACCCCCCCCAAAAAAAAAAAAAAACTCAAAAGATTTAAGTTTTTCTTAAGAAGACAACAAAAAGATTTCAGGTCTGCAAAATTAATCTGGGGTACAAAACTAAAGCTATTTATCTTAAAGGAATCTTTAGGAAAACAAATGCTTAAAAAGCGAAATATATTTATTAACTTTTGGCTACTTTTAATAGCCAAAATAACTATTATAGCTGTATGGTTGCAGCCACGACCCCCAAACATAAAACAAAGGTAACAAAAGGGGACAAGTTCACAGCAGAAATACAGCTAGAAATGTAATTAGTTTTTTCTGTGGTCTGTAGTTTCTTCTCCATATATATTGAATGAAATTCATATGAAAGGAAATGCATATCTCTGCATCTGAATTTGTATTTCACAAATAAAAAGTAAAAAAAAAAAAAAAACCTTTTAGTGAAGCTTTGAAATGTGTCAGCTTTTTTAAAGTGCGGTTTTAATTTAGATTCAAAGGAGAGAAATAAAAGGTCATGACCACATTAAAGCTGTGGTTGTGCAGAGTGAGGCTGCAGCCAGCGGGGGGCGCTGCCTGCCTGCAGAACAGAGGGAGGAGAGGGAGGAAACTTTAAACTGCTCCTTTAACTGCCCCACCCATCGACACTGATGCCACCATGTACAGAAGCCCACAACAGACATTATTCGGTCAAAATCGAAGCCCCAAAACTCGAATTAGTCAATCTTCCTCCAGTTTTCTGTGTAAGTCAATCAGAAAAAAAAACAATTAAATCAAATTATTCTGCTCAAATTCACATTAGGACATAATATAATTTGAAGAAATAAAGTGCACATATTTATATTATTTATTCAAACTCCTTCAGCTCAGAAGCTTTAAAAGTGTCACACTCCGGCAGAAAGAGACAAATGTATGAAAAGAGAAAGGAGATTTGTTTGTTTACTCTGTGAATGTGAACGGATCTGTTTGACGACGAAGAGGAGGAATGATGATGAAACCTCGCAGTGAGCTATTGTCAACACGCTCTTACACTAACTATTAATAATGATCATTTATTTAAAACTTTAATGTGAATTTAAACAATATTTCTCTCGTGTATCTTGTGATTTATTTTACTTTTTAATTTTATTTGAATCATTTATTTTATGTTTTGATCTCTTTCTCTGATTGTTGGTGTGTGTTTGGTTGTTTACCTCATATAGTGCTTTTAATCTTTATTGCTGCTATTCTTTGTGTGTACATATATATATAGTAACACTTTGTAAAGATTGCTTTTAAAAACCTGCTATACAAAAAAATCATTATTATTATTATTATTATATGAATCAATAATACTGTAATAACTCTGGTTGTTATAAAGCATTAAAGATCCAGGGCTCCTCCTGCAGGAGTTCAGAAGGGGGCAGCTCCTCTGTGAGCTGATCTTCATCAGTGGGGCAGTTCAAGGAGAGTTTAACCTCCAAACACTGAGCGAGGAAGAGGAGGAGGAAGAGGAAGAGGAAGAGGAGGAGAAGGAAGAGAAAACAAAGGAAAAGGAGAGGAGATTAGGAATGAGGGCCGCAAGATGAGAGTGAACTAATGAGCCCAGGTGGCTTATCAACCCCCCAACCTGAGGATGAGGATTACATGTACTGTGTGTGTGTGTGTGTGTGTGTGTGTGTGTGTGTGTGTGTGTGTGTGTGTGTGTGTGTGTGACTATATAGTCATAATAATAACAATAATAATAATAATTATAAGAAGAAGAAGAAGAAGAAGAAGAAGAAGAAGCATTTTCCCTCCAGAATCGTCCACCAAAACTAGATTCCAGTCGTCATTTTTTTGTCTTTCTTTCCTACAAAAAGCAGCCTAAATGCTCAATAATGCAACAGCCTCGTGTGTTTCTGTTGTTTTCTTCGTGTTTCTCTTCGCCCACATCTATTATTTTCCGTTGAAAGCTCTCGGTCGATTAACCTGATTCCACCTGCAAACACACGTAAAGCAGCTGGAAAACAGAGTGGAAACCTGTCGTCTTTAATCCTGATTTAACAGCAGAGCAGCAGCCGAGGAGGGAACGCCGGTACTCGCATTACTTTCTTCTGTAACAAACTTCATGTGTTTCATTCACAAACAGCAGGATGAGACTTTCTGACTGGTCGGACGCTGTAGCCGTGTCTATTGGCAGCACTCTGATGGCTGATGGGTCTGACACAGTAAAACAATGTGCGCTCAGTTAGTTCAAACACTGATGCCACACCAAGACAACCCCTGGAGAGTTTAGCTTCCTCTGAATCCTAAATCACTGGTTCCCAACCGTAAGGAACTCCTGTTCTATCGTTTAATTAAAGGACATGTTTTATGGATATTTCATATTAAATTCAAAACTGCACAATGAACCCAAACAGTGAACTCAGTAACAGCAGGAAGTTTGTGTAAAGCCAGAGATTTGGATGAATTTTGAGCAGATTATTTCCTGTTTAGGGAACTTTTCATATTATCTGTCTGTATTGTTGGTTTTCTAATAATCATACAGACTTAATAGACTTCCCTGATTGTTCTGTTAGACAATTTATATTCCTGAAGCAGATATATAAAGCCTCCCCCCTTTGGCGACCCCCACCCCAGTGTTTCTTAAATGGGCCTATGCGTACCACTAATAGTTTTGTAGAATCATGCAAATTTCCTAAAATAATTGTACAACAATAAGTTCAATCAAAAATGTCTATCTATACTCTATGAGCCATATTTTATATTCAATATTCAAATTTTTCAAGGCAATGAAGTGGCCTTCAGTTTCCAGCTGGTTCCATCAGATAAGATCAGAGTTCTTCTGAAGAACCGTTCTCATGAACCACAGGGTTCCTGCACATGGTGGTGCCATTGCTTGCTCTGTTTGCTGTGTTCTCTGATGTTAAGGTATTTTCTCAGACAGATAACAGAGATACGGTGTTGATGTGTGTGTGTGTGTGTGTGTGTGTGTGTGTGTGTGTGTGTGTGTGTGTGTGTGTGTGTGGTGTGAGAGAGAGAGAGTTGTAACTTGATGAAGAAGGCATGCTGAGACACTGAAAGTGTCATAGTGATAGATTAATCACACCAGATCTGGGAAACCAAACTGTGTGTGTGTGTGTGTGTGTGTGTGTGTGTGTGTGTGTGTGTGTGTGTGTGTGTGTGTGTGTGTGTGTGTGTTCAGGCATTAAATCAAATCCTTACCTGTTCTTTATCTCACGTTACCGTAGTTATCGCAAAACCGCCACAGAAAGTGAAAACAAACATCATTAACAGTGACATTTTCACTGTTATTAAAACCTGGCTGATTTCTAGTTGAAATCTGGGTCATATTCAGATGAAAGATGTGGGTGAGTGTGTTACTCATAGAGCGTTCCACTGGTTCTCTATCACTGAGAAGACTGGCTACACTTTATTATATATTAATCAATGACAATAGAGAACAGCTCATCAACTGATCAATGAACCCAAACAGTGAACTCAATACCTGCAGGAAGTTATTTTCCTGTTAATATTGATCAGAGATACATTCTCAGTCTGTATTCTGTATTTTTATCATTTTTACAATCAATATTCTTCTTTTCTGGCAGATTCACTGTTTTCTTCTCATTGTTATTATCATTGTTATTATCAGCTGTTTGGTTGCATTTAACTTTCATTTAGTGTTCTTCACAGAACCTAATAAAATGCTGAAATATAACCCTACTGTTTATATTTTTAAATGTTCTTAAACCCCATAAAATAAAGAAGGATTCAAGACCCCCTGGGAAGCTATGGCGATCCTGAGTGGGGTTCCTGACTGGGAAGTGGTTCACTATGTGAGGTAAGGTTTTATTTGGATGTAGTTTTAGGCTCCAAAGTGATGGTAGTTATTTGCACATTGTGGAATATAAAAAATGTCACTATTGCAAATCCTGGTGAAATATGGTCTAAATGTCAACGTCTTCAAAAAAAACATCTTTCCACTGCTGATGTTCACTGTGTGCTGTCTGTCGAGAAACGAGACAAGAAAAGAAGAACGACTGATAAAAAGAGATAAAAGCTGATAAAAATCTTGTTTTTGATTTTGGACCAAAAAATCTGAAATAAATAAATATTTGAAATAGTTTATTACAAGCTAATGTACACTACTTTGTGCATATTGTGCAAATTATTATATTATAATCATTAATTACAATTGCATGCATCATTGATAAAATATAAAATATATGCATATGTTTAAATTCTGTCCGAGCCCGAACTACGCCAGCAGTTTTGGGCCCGTACCCAGCGGGTTGTGTCAGATCCAATCGGGTTCAGGCACTGAATCAAAGCTTTGTCAAAAATATGCTGACTGATTTTCAAAATAAAACATGATGATGTTTGTGACTATTACATTTAAACCTGGTCTTTCTGATCACCAGGTGAGCAGAGTCAGGCATTAGCTTCACCTGAGGTCAGCTATGACCCACATGCGAGCTGAGTCGAGGTGTTTCTGCCCACCGACGCACTGTCAGGTTTTATTAGGGACAAATGATCAAGAAAATCCATTAAGGGGCTTTTTTCTGCTTCCACAGATGCTTTGTTGGCAAGAAGGATTTTAGGTAAACAACTGAAAACACACACAAAGCAGAGAGGGGTTATTAATTATATATTATTACTGCATTGTGGGTGAAATCAGTGACCCCATTAGCATGACAACAACACATGTTGAACAAACAGTCGAGGACAGAAAGGAAAGACAAATAAATGTCATGTAAAGTGTGTAAAGCCGCTGTAGAGGACCAACCTGTGTAGAGAAAAAAAGCATATTAAAACTGTTATTAACTGTGACTTACGGCAAATTTAAACCAACTTTTTGTCATCAAAACCACAATTAAGTCCCTTCAAAAAAGCAATGAGCTGCTAATTTAAATTATATAATACATTTAAGTATGGAGATTCTTTTATACGGTAAAACAGGATAAAGTTTCCTTCCAGGGCAATGGGTCCCATCCTGCAGGTCAAGATACACATAAAACTTTTAACATTATAATTTTAATACACACATTAGGCCCATAGCTCAGCATTTCCTTCATTTATGTGAAGAAAACGAATTGAATTGTTATTTTTAAAGTTGATATTAAAGATGTAAACTGATCGCAGTGTACACTGACAGAGCTTCAGCCCCGCTTCGATTCATTCTTGATTTCATTAAATCACGACATGCATCGCATCACCAGGCTGCAACAATCCCTAAAAGACGCATGTGAAGTCCTGGAGGGACAAACATCAGTGTGTTGCTGGTGTGCATAGACTGACAGACAGACAGACGAATGTTTGCTGAGGCTTTCTGTTTGTTGATCGTCGGTTCAGGTTGATCACGTGTTCGTTTCATTGTGCTCTCTGTTTGCGTTCTACTTGAGCTGCACACATGACTCCGCTTTTGTTTAGTTTGCATATTCCTGTCATTTCCTTACAGGAGGAGGCGACGCGGCAGAAGGATCAGATTTCTATAAATCTCCATTCAGTGGAAAATTAAAACTAAAGGTCCAACAGCACATCCAACAGATCACTGCTGACGGACTGACAGAGGTTCTAAACCTGGGTCCAGAGCACAGAGGGCCAGCATATCAGAAGGACATAATTGACAGGAGAGGAAAGAATAAAAAGTGAATTACTGCAACGTTAATATTTGACTATTTATATTAAACAGTGAACAGTTTACATTTTACTGTAAATGAAGAAATCTGAGTGGTATAGAGACAGAGATTGTTTTTATAAACTTGTCATACGTTCTGTTTTTAGAACTGAAAACCTTCATGTGAAACGTAACTGCAGCTGTCAGGGAGAGAACAGGGTGGAATTAGAAATCATTGAATTTAAGCTTATCACGTCCACAACAGATCATTACATAAATTAAATCTGACACCAAACTGGGGTGGCAGCTGCCCCTCTAGATCCGGCCCTGCATGAACTTTGTGGAGTAAAAACTTAGTTTTATCATTTTAATATTTATTATTATTATTATTATTATTATTATTATTATAATTTAACATTTCTTTAAAAAAACACATTTTAGTTTTTCACATTACATTTGGAAGAAAAATGTCCTGAACTGGATTAGAATTGATTCAAGAATAAAATATAACTAAATAATATTATTATAATATAAACTTTTTTTAATATATTTGTACGGACGGTTCATTTTGAAGCTGTTTGTATCGTCAATCATTTCTATAAAAATACAACAAATATTTTAAAAGTCTGCTCATTGTTTGAATGATCAACTATCAGTCAATCATAAAGGGTTAATCCCTGCTCTCACGGTAGAGCTCCATTTATTTATTTTATTATGCTAATAGATTTTCATTCATATTTATTCCATCGTATAATCGTCACTCTGTTATTTGTTGTTGTCACTTTTTCGACTTTCACCTTCTTTTTTTCTGTTGAACTGCTGTAACTCCTTCATTATAAAGTATCTAAGTATTAAAAAGGCCTGTGTCAGTAACTGATAAATGTTCTATAGATTATAACAGTACAGCATTGAGTTAGTCACTGTTGTTTTCTTCCCTGTTATAAATAAAGTTTAGTTGAATTCACTCTTTCGTTGACCTCATGACGTGACCTCCGCAGAGGTCAAAGGAAAGTAGGAAAGGAAATAGGACGTCATTTTTCTGACAGCCCAGATTTTATAACACAAGTTGTGAAGTGAGAGGCTGCTTGTGGCCCCTGTAACTGCCAGGGGGCCCCTGGACGAAGAGTTCCTCTGTTCATTTCCTCATTTCCTCTATCAGGATTCAATTCTTTACAACTTTATTAATCTCTGTTAACTTTAATCAGAAAACAACAACAACATAACTTTATTTACACACTGTGTGGAGACAAACTGCTGATGTGGAGCTTCACACAGTCTCATTTATGTCTGTGGATCATAAAAGGAATGTTTATATCAATATTATTATCATTATTATTATTATACGTTAATTTACTTTAAATGAAATATATATGAATAAATATAAATCAGGAGTATTGTAGTTGTATTCCTTACATTGTGTGTATAAACAGTGAAACAACAACAGTAAACTGTTTATAACAATATTTAAAGATACTTTGTTTTTATTTACAAAATGAGAAGTCAGACTTTAGAAAAAAGAACCAAAAAAGATACTTAATTTATAAAACGTGACAGAAACTCTACAAAAGCATAAAACTAAAAATATAGTGTTAAACATATTAATAATCACCAATCAATAACCATATTTACACACATTGTTGTATAATATTTGTATCGGAGGGTTCATGTATTCATAAAACAACTGAAGTGAAATCAGTACACACTGTATCTGTATTGATTATTGATCAGTATACACTGTATCTGTATGGATGATATTGATCAGTATACACTGTATCTTTATGGATGATATTGATCAGTATACACTGTATCTGTATGGATTATTGATCAGTATACACTGTATCTTTATGGATGATATTGATCAGTATACACTGTATCTTTATGGATTATTGATCAGTATACACTGTATCTTTATGGATGATATTGATCAGTATACACTGTATCTTTATGGATGATATTGATCAGTATACACTGTATCTTTATGGATGATATTGATCCTGTATTGACAGTCAGACTGTGGACATATGACGGCCTTTAGCTCGTGTTTCTAGAGTTACGTGTTGTTACGAACACGTTAGGAATTGTTAAAATGTGATATTTCTTAAAGGGAGTTTGGTGCAGGGAGCTTTTAGTTGGATTCAAACTGCTGATATGGATCATTGTTAACGTTTAGTCTCCACTACAGAGACACTAGCTGACTGCTGAAGGCTGATCAGGTTGTCTGACCACAAGGACTTCAAGACTCCAGGTTACAAGACTGTTCTGCATAGTGTGAACTGTACAGAGATCAATCTTTGATTGGCCAAGGCTTTAGAGAGAGAGAGAGAGAGAGAGAGAGAGAGAGAGAGAGAGAGAGAGAGAGAGAGGAGGTCTGGAAAAAGGAGGTGTGGAGAGAGGGAGGGAGGAGGTGTGCACTTGTCTGCAGGATTCGTCATTGAGCTTCAGCTCTTGGACGCAGGAACAGCTCCCACAGCTGCCCCATGGAGGAACTTTCTGCCCTCAACCATCGCAAGAGGAACAACTTTGAGGAGTTTCAGTAAAAATCTGCCGCACACATGAAGTTCTGTGGAGGCGGAGCGGCGCTGCTGCTGCTGCTGCTCGGCCGCTGCTGCTGCACCGACCCCGGCAGGAGAGGTAGGACTGAGCCCGGGGTGAGAGCTCCGGAGAGAGTGCGTGTCAGTGCGGGAGGGAGGGTGCGGGAGCCCGGGGTGAGAGCTCCGGAGAGAGTGCGTGTCAGTGCGGGAGGGAGGGTGCGGGAGCCCGGGGTGAGAGCTCCGGGGAGAGGTTCTCCATTACTATAAATGCATTTTGAGTTTTGTTGTGAAAAGTTCAGGAAGTTGCCTGACACAGATCAAATCTAATATTAAGTAATATTATGACAAGATCAGATTTTTCCTTTATTATCGGGAGGGGGAGAAATTCAAATGAGCGCAGCAGCACAGGGCAATGTAGAGAGTAAAGAGAGACAATACCATACTGTAGAACAAACTCAGATAAAACACAATTCAACACAATATCAAATATGTATATACAGTAAAACAGAATATGGTAAACATCTGTATATGTGCAAAAAAAAAGAGTTGTGCAATGCATGCTGGGTGGTGTGATTTATCATCCTCCGGGTTTCACTGTACCACATATATTTATTTATGTTATTATTTTGCATGAATGTGCCTTTTATACAGATTTATAGTGGCTCAGTCTACTCCCAGGAAGTACATAGAATATAATAAATATATATAACTACCCCTTCATACACAACTCAAACAACACAGTTCAATTAAAAATAGTGTGAAAGGTGCCCACCATCGGCCCATAGGAAGAGATCAGCTTAAAACTGTATAGAAACTGTTTTATTTTGTTAGTGTGATGTTAGGTATGGAAATATTTGTGAGATGACAGTATCAGCAGTGGCCCCGTGCTGTCGGGCTTTCTATGCTGCACATAATGATACAATATATGAAAGAATCAGTAAATAATATATATGTTCAAACTGCAACGTGCTAAAAACATTACATATAAATATATCAA